TCTCCTGTTATCAGTTGGAACCTTAGAAGAACTTTCAGAAGGTGAGGCAGTCAAATTGAATATCTGAGCCATTCTTGTGTAAAAAATGGTCTTTGAATCATACTGTGCAACATAGTAGCCACTAGACACACAGTGCTATTGAGCACTTAAGTTGTGGCTAACTGACTAAGAAACTACATTTTAAGTATCTACTTTAAGCTAATTTAAATAAAAATTCATATACAGACATGTGCCACATGTCAATGACAGGTTGCATGTATGACAGACTCAGTACATGACAGTATTCCCTTCAGATGATCATGGAGCTATGGAAGGGAGTAGGTTATACTGCCTAGGTTTGTGTGGGCACACTCTGTGATGTTTGCACAACAGTGAAATTGCTGAACGATGCATTTCTTAGAACGTATCCTGTTGCTAAGTGCTGCACGACTGCCCTTCTCTCAGCTATTGGAAAACTTTTAAGTATGTTTGGAACAATTTGAACTTGTACATTTCCTTTGTATACTATAAAAGCTAAAGTATTTTGATGAGAATTTAGTGTCTGAATTGAGATGGGCTGTAAACAATTTAAGACATTCTAGATTTCAAGGACTTGATATGAAAAAAGTAAAATATTAATTTTAAAAATAATTGAGTACATCTTGAAATGACATTTTGAATATATTATGTTAAATACGATATATTATTAAAATTAAGTTCCCCCTTTTAACCTATTAGAAAACTTAAAATTATATATATTATTATATGTCTTTTATATATGTAATTTTATATACTCACATAATACCTATTGGACAGCACTGAAGTAGAACATAAATCAAAAACTATTTGAGATCTACATAGTCCCCCATATGTAAAATGTTGGAGGTTGGCATAGGGAACAAGAAAATTCATGTGAAGATGGTGACTGCAGTTATAAGCAGCTGTAGAATCAAAGTGCTTATCTCTTTCACTTACTGTCTCAAAAATAGAGCTGGGGTAAGTCTGTGGCTTCTTTTCACTTAAGTTCCAGATAGAATCATAGTGTTGAGGTAGAGAAAATTGTTTCCACGATTATTAAAGTGATTGTGGATATGGATGGTGTATATGTTATATGCATACTTTAGACACACATATCCACATACGTGCACACGCATATATTTTTGACTAGCTGAATTTCTCTTGGGCTTTTGATGTCTAGTTTCCTAAATGCTCAAGATAATTCAAGACTCTATCTCAGCGGTTCTCTTCTGGGGAGCTTGCCAAAAGTGCTGACTTTCATTTGGGAGGCCTGGGTTGAGAATAAGAATTCTGCATTCAAAAGTTTCCCCGTGATTATGTGTGTGTGTGATTATATAGCTTATAACCATTGCAATCTTTTCTTAGCCATTCATTTTATTTACTCATTGATCAAATAAGCATTTCATAGCACGACTCTTCAGCCAAGTGGTATGACAGACACTTCTCTTCCATGGGATCTTCTTCTCAGGCTCCTTAGCACTTGCCTTGTTTTTTACTGTATTTCATCCATTACTTTATGATTCACTAAGAAAGAAGGAATGCTGCCAACTCAACTATGACACATCAATGCTTCACTATAGCCCTATTCCGAGATGTGAAAAATATGCATCTGGGATGAAAGACAGCGCCAGCATTCTCCAGGTCTCACTCTGAGACCCACATTTCATGCTGCTGACAGATGCTGTGACCTGGAGCCACCTGACTCTCCCCTTCCCATACCTGGGTTCCTTATGGCTCCTCCAATCACCAACCCCTACTTTCTTCTTCTTTTTTTTTTGGCTTTGGAGTCTCACTCCATTGCCCAGGCTGGAGTGCAGTGGCTGCCCAGCATCAATCTGCTGGGCTTCCGCAATCTGTCTGCCTCAGCCTTTGAAGTAGCCAGAACTACAGGTGTGTGCTACCACACCCAGTTAATTTTTAAAAAATTTATTGTAGAGATGAGGTCTTGCCAAGTTGCCCAGGATGGTCTCAAATCCCGCGAACTCAGACAATCCACTTGCCTCGGTCTCTCAAAGTGCTGGGATTACAGGCTGAGCCACTGAGCCCAGCCTACTTTATTCTTTATTTTTAAAAAAATTTGTTTTAGATTCAAGGGGTGTATGAGCAAGTTTGTTACATAGGGATATTGCTTGATGGCGAGGTTTGGGCTGCTACTGAGCCCGTCACCCAGGTGGTGGGCAAAGTACCCAATGGGTTTTTCAACCCTTGCCCGTCCCTCCCTCCCTTTAGGAGTCCCCACTGTCTGTTGTTCTCATCCTTATGCCCACATGCAGCCAGTGTTTAGCTACTACTTATGAGAACATGTTCTCAGTTTTGTTTCTGTGATGATTTGCTTAGAATGGTGGCTGATCTCCAGCTGCATACGGCATTTTGTTCTTTTTTATGGCTGCATAGTATTCCATGGTATGTACCAACCCCCTACTTCCTTCTGAGCTACATCTCAGTAAGTGATGCAGACCCTAGTAATTCTGATGCAGATGATTCTCAGCCCACTCTGAGAAACTCGGCTCTTCAAGGAAAGACTCTCTTGTTGCTGGTGTTGTGATACACAGGAGTGCCAAAAAAATGTATACACATTTTAAGTATGACATTTGCTCAAAAGATGGCACTAATCAAATGAATGCTAACATCACGTGACAGGCGTCAAAAATGACAGAAGCACAGTTGAGCAGATGTCTTACTACATATTGCTCCTGTAATTCAACTTCAAAAAGGAAAACATAGATAACATCTCTTAAAATGTATATATATGTATATATTTGTCACCCCCATATATGTTGTTATCCAAGAGTTTGATATTTCATTGTCAATGTTTTCTTCCAGGTATTTTGTAAACATGTTAAGGCTACCAGCCGGCCCCACCATGTATCCTCAAGCACTACTTAGAAACATGACATGTGATGCTACCCTGTTCTTTATCTTAAAACTGGCTCCTTATTTAGGACAAAATATTCCCAGCTTTTGCTTCAATGTTTAAATATTTGATTAAATCTTTCACAAAACCATCACTTTTTTAAAAAATTGATTTTTATTTTAAAGATGTGGGGTACAATTAAGGTTAGGTATATAAATGTTTATTATTCAGGTACCCTTGTTGATGAGGTGCGCCTCCCTCCTCCCCCAGCAGATTCCCACTACTGCCAATCCCATCCACCCCACTCCCGCCGCTGGCAGTTTCTCACTACTGCCAATGCTTTTCTTTGCTTTTTTTTCCTTGAGTTGGAGTCTCACTCTGTCGCCCAGACTGGAGTGCAGTGGCTGCTCTCGGCCACCGCAGCCTCGACCCGCTGGGCTCTGGTGAACCTTCAGCCTCAGCCCTCCAAGTAGTTGGAACTACAGGCGCGTGCTACCACGCCCGGCTAATTTTTTGATTTATTGTAGAGATGAAGTCTCGACAAGATGCCCAGGCGGGTCTCGAACCCGCAGGCTCAGGCAATTCACTTACCTCAGCCTCCCAAGGCGCGGCCTGTGCTGAGCCACCGAGCCTGGCAGCTTTTCTTATAGTATTATGGTAATTGTTCAAGGTCCAATTATGAGTGAGAACATGCAATACTCAGTTGTTTCTGTGATAGATCACTTAGTATTATGGACTCTAAATCCATCCAAGTTGCTGTGAAGTTCATAATTTTGTCCTTCTTTATGGCTGCATAATATTCCATCGTGTATATGTACCACATGGACACCGTGGTTGGTTCCATATTTTTGCTATTGTGAACAATGCTGCAGTAAACATGCGTACACAGGTATATTTTTCAGAGTGATCTGAGCTTCTCTGGGTATGTTCCCAGTGGGGGGGAGGGTTACAGGGTCATATGGGAGATCGATTTTTAGATCTTTTAAGAATTGCCAAACTGTTTTCCACAGAGGCTGTACTAGTTTACACTCCCACCAACTGTGTAGAAGTGTTCCCTTTTCTCTGCATCCTCTCCATCATCTGTTGTTTTTGGAGTTATTGATGATGGCCATCCTGAATGGGTTAGGTGGTATTTTAGTGTGGTTTTAATTTGCATTTCTTTGATGACTAGTGAGGCTGAGCATTTTTTCATGTATCTGTTGGCCGCTTGTATGTCTTCTTTTGAGAAGTTTCTGTTCATATTTTTTGCCCACTTTGTAATGGGGCTGTTTGTTTTTTCTTTTTGGCACGTTTGAGTTCCTTATGGATTACAGATGTTAGGCCTTTGTCAGATATACAATGGGCAAATATTTTTTTCCAGTCTGTGGCTATCTCCCCAATCTCTTGAATGGTTTCTTTGACTTTGCAGAAGACTGTCAGTTTGATGAGGTTCCACTTGTTTATCTTATCTCTTATGGCATGGGCACTTGGAGTTTTGTTCAGGAATTGGTTGCCCAGTTCCAATTTTCATAAGGGTGTCTCCTGCATTTTCTAAGGTTCTTATAGTTTGAGGTTTTATGTTTAGGTCTTTGATCCATTTAGAGTTGATTTTTGTATGGTGATAGGTAGGGGTCTTGTTTTCATCTTTTATATGTGGTTGGCCAGTTTCCCCCATACCATTTACTGAATAAATTCTCCTCTCCCCAGTGGTTGGTGGTGGACGCTTTGTCGAAGATGAGTTGGTTGAGAAATTGAGATTTTTAAAGCATCGCTTTTATTCTAACTTTTATTTCAGGGTGTGACAAAAAGATTGCAGTGAGGAAGGGAGCCAGATGGTAACCACAAAGGCCAGAAGCATTAATGTGCTTTTTTAATGCTGGAAAAGAACCCCACTTGTTCGTGTACTCTAAACTGGGGTGGTGTAATCATGACTTAGTACACCACTAAATGAATAAGTATGGGATGTGTTAAATTTAATCTGTGCTCTGAGGATACTGCCCTAGATTTTATTATTTAGTTAGAATAAACCCATTAGTCTACCTGAATAAACCACATCCACTTCTAAAGCATAATTTCTCTCTACATGACCCATTTAAATCTGCAAATGATTTAATCTGATGCCTCAACACACTTAAAAGGAGAATAAAGATGAATGAACACTCGACAACACTTTCTATAAAAATGCTTTATTTATTTAAAAATATGATTTTTTTTTTAAAAAAGAGACAACTTTTTTATATACAGGTACTTAGTTTAGAAACAGTCAAAAAACACAATAAAATAAACCTGGATTTAGAAATGATGATTTGTAACATATAATATGAGTGCTGAACAAGACAATTTAAATGTATAATTCTTTTTGTCTCATCACATTTCAGTAATTCACATTTGTTAAAAACGGTGATTGGAAAAGAACAGGTCATGCCTGCACCTTTCCCCTTCAGCAATCTGCCACCTTCCTTGTGTAGCAGAAAGGGCAGCAGGCAGGTAGTGGGTCTGCACTTCTTCGAGCGCCTGTGTGAAAAATACATCACCTTCACTTTTATCCTTTTTCTATTTTCTTCTTTGAAATGTATTTGTATGTGGCCATAGGGCCTGTCATACACACCAGGCCTCTTTAAATTTAATTTTTTAAAAACGGAAGCTCCCTGTGGGCCAGGAGCACGCCCTGCAGTGGCAGCACAGCACTCAGGGCTTAATGCCCTTGGGTTGCCAACACTCACACGATTGGGTCTCCAGGTCAGCACTCTGAGCAGCTGTCAGTTAACCTTTTCCAGCACAGTACTGGAACATTCCAACTCCATTCAAACATCTAATATAGACTTGTAATGAAACAGGAGAAATGGCTTGCCAAGCTAAAGTGCTATTAGCTACTATATTCAAGAGGCTATCTTGATTTCACAATCTGAATTTTTAAACTATTTTTCACCATGGTCACTGCTTCTCAAACTGGGGAACCCAAGTCATCTTCCTGGAGTGTCCTTTTTTTTTTTTTTTTTTTTTAAAGCCTTAGAGAGGCTCACAATTTTTTTAATCTTTGAAAGTTCTGTCATATATACTCACAAGCCAAATCAAATAATTTTAAAGATGAAATATGACTTCAAAGAAATGACAAGGTGACACTTTGGACTATGCCCTCATGCCTCATCTCCTATGAGGAGGATCCCAGTAGTAATGTGTAAAGCAATAACCTAGGGAATCCTGATTTTTGAAAGTGTAGCCAGGTCCTTAAAGGCAGTCAATAGAAATAAAATTCAGTCTTGGCTCATTCTCTTGAGTCCCATCTTCAGAAATAATGTCATTCTCTGATTAAATATACATTGTCCTGTCTATACTGATCAGGAAGAAAGTCAAGGAAAGAACTCTGGACTGACTTTCATTTTACACTGTTTAATAATTAAAGGAATGCTGCCATTAAAGAGGATTACTGACTTACAATTAAAAATATACAACATATGTCATAAAAAATAGTGGAACTCACGAAGTCAAAAGATTAGAACTTAACCCACTGAAAATAATGGGGCCATTAACTGTGGGTGGCTTTACCTTTCTTCCAGATTTATATGAAATCGTATCATATCTATTCTTTATTGCTCTTTTGGTTGAAGAGATAAATAGCTGGTACCTTTGAGTTATTAATTACATGACCTCTCCTGAAATCCCAAATTTACTAGGGAGTCTTTCTTGACCCCAAAGGGATCCTTCTAGTATGTCATTAGGAAAAACTCAATCTTCCTGCCAATGATAATTACTTGTCAAATGGAAAGTCAATAGTCATTCCCCGTATCAATAAAGAACAAATGAAGTTGCAAATGAAATTATATAAGTCAAATTTACAAAGTATTTTTTTTAAACAATAGGTCAATGTCATCAGGCATGTAAGGAAAACATTATTTGCAAATCAAATTATCATCCAACACATTTAATAATTAAATATAGTTAAATATGATGCTGGATCAAAAATGATCCTAGATAGTTTAAGGACTAATTCCATTAATCCCACAGTTTAATGAGACCATCCCAACCACATGTTATGACTTTAGATGTTTCATGAGGGTGCCACACTGCACCTATACACACTTTATCATGTGCTTTAAATCGACTATAGAGTTTTGTGGTCTTCCAGTCCCAAATGTTTAATTTTCCATTTCCATCTCCTGAAATCACATAGCTGTTAACAGGAAGAAAAATACATTCAAATTAGCAATATGCCTTAAACTGGCAGAGTGAATGAAGAACAGAAAAAAATCTTTATCTTTTCCCCTTAACGTTAAAAACCCCAACACATAGCCGGGCTCGGTGGCTCAGCCTGTAATCCCGCGCCTTTGGGAGGCTGAAGTGAGTGGATTGCCTGAGCCCACGGGTTCGAGACCCGCCTGGGCAGCGAGACTTCATCTCTACAATAAATAAAAAAAAAAATCAGCCAGGCGTGGTAGCACGCGCCTGTAGTTCCAGCTACTTGGAAAGCTGAGCAGAAGGATCACCGGAGCCCAGCAGGTCGAGGCTGCGGTGGCCGGGAGCGGCCACTGCACTCCAGTCTGGGCGACAGAGTGAGACTCCAACTCAAAAAAAAAAAACCCCAACACAAACATACAATGCTCAGAATAACAAGGTAGAACATGAAGCAGTCTATCAGCTGAACTTCCACAAAAACGTTCCCCAGTAAGCCACAAAGTAAAGGCAGAAAATAATTTTTAACTGGGAAGACTGGGAATCCTGGAGGCCATGATGGATGAGGTATCTAGACAGTCAGAAACAGTAGAAGGGAACTGATTTCATATATAGCCAGTGAACATGTGGGCCTTTCTACCTTAGTAGACTCTATTACCTTCATAATTCTAGTTTGGCTTCATATCTTTTGAATACATCTACAAGTGAATCAAAGGTAGAAGCATGTGGCCCAGTCACCAGGCCAAACATTCAGAGTTATAGGGATTTCTATATGGCTTTCACCTGTACATTTTAACTAAGGATGGTGCTAGAGGCTTCACAAATCCAGTGTGACCTAAAAATATTCAAAGAATGGATTGGCAGTTTCAGCACAGACAAGCTGTAGTGAAGTTGTAACTTCAACACTGCAATACAGAACAATTCTGCTGGTGTTCATTCAACCGCAAAAATATAGTGATTATAGTGCTCCTACTCTTGCTAAGAAAAGCAGAGAGAAAATAAGGCCTTGGTGATATACACAGGAGTTTACTAGGTGGCTGAAGGGCACAGGCCTAAGGAATTTAAAGGATTATATTGAAGAACTTTAAAAAAAAGCAAAATGTAATTTTCCTAACTTGTTCTTGCCTTTATATCTGCATTTTGACATATTAGAGTTCTTATACAAATAAGAACTGTGATAGTGATTTATGTGATAGTGATTTGTAAAGTGTTATTTGTACAACAATAGTTATCATCATATTTGAATATCAGAACAGATTAGAAGATTTGAACTTACCTCATGTCTGGTGAAAAGTCCACCTGACAAGCATAGCCTGCTACCATATGGCCCTTAAAAATTTTTTTCTTATTCAATCTAAATCTGTTCTGTGCTCCAAAAATTAAGATTTGGTTGTCCATTGACTGGCATGCCAGCCATTTCCCTGTAAATTCAATAAATTTAGACAAATTAGAGAAAGACTGAAACATTAAAGAAAAATGTTTTATTTTAAATATGTTCACTGTGATTAATATTCTTTTGCTCCCAAATCCTTTGCAATACTAAAAATTAAATTTACCACATCACCTGTAAAATGTTAGAAATATATCACTGGCAAGAGGTATTAATATGTAAAGTAATGGCTTTTCTTCAATTCTGTTATTAAGTACTCTTCATATAAAAGCTTATTTAAAAAAAAAAGAAATAAGAAAATACAGAAATTCCAAACCTTAGTGTTAATAGAACTAAATTAAAACTTGTGAAATGAATTAATTCATAGTAAGTATAGCCAGCAAAACAATGGCAAGAAGGAGAAAGAGACCTATCTGTGGTAATTATGGAACAGGAAAAGATAAACACAGGTAAGAAGACCCAGGATTAGTAAATAAAACTGTAAAAAAAGGAAATGCAATTTAAATGATAGCAACTGGTTTTTAAAGGCCACAGTTGCTTTTTAGCTACTTAGACTCCATCAACGGCCCTGGAGACTAGCTGTACTAGCTGCAGTCACTCGCTGATGATAACGCTTGGTCAGTGACGGACTGCATACCTGATGGTGGCGCCTGAAGACCATAACAGATCAAATGTTTACTGTGCCTTTTCTATGTTTAGATGCACAAATACTTGCCACTGTGTTACCATCGCCTACAGAATCTAACCTGGTACAGGGACATGATGTAGAGGCTTGCCGCCTGGGAGTAATGGGCTAGACCATATGGCCTAGGTGTGTGGTGGGCTACACCGTCTAGGTCTGTGCAGGCTCACTTGATGATGTTTGCGCAATTATGAAATCACCTAACAAAGCATTTCTCAGAAGCATCCTTGCCGTTAAACAACAGACAACTATACATTTATCCTACAAACAGTCGTTCCTTGGTATCTGCAGGGTATGCACCACACGCCCCCGCAAGTCCCTTATACAAAATGGCACAGCATTTGCATATAACCTGAGCACATCTCCCATATACTTTAAATCATCTCTAGATTACTTATAATACCCAATACAATATAAATGCTATGTAAATAGTTGCCATACTGTATTGTTTTTAATCTGTATTTTTAATTGTATTATTTGTTATTGTTTGAATATTTTCAATCTGTGGTTGGTGGACTCCAAGGATGTGGAACTCACACATATGGAGGACTGACTGACCACATGAACTCACTAAATGCTCCTACCAGAGCCTGAGCAGGTAATGGCCTTGCTCAAGTTGGGTGCAGTATTTGTAACAGCTGGTTTAAAAACACACGACGTAAAATGTAGATGCACAGTGACCAGGTGCATCATATAGTGATCATTAAAACAGGATCCCGTTAGGTTGCTCTTCTCACAAAAATGATGAGCATTTGACAGCTCTCACCAATCTGCCTGTGGCAGATGCCTGATGGCAGACCAGCTCCTCCCTGACCCACGCTTACAGTAGCGATGCGAGTTAACAGTGGCTGCGACAAAGACGATCCCCAGACAGCAGAACCTCCACTTTAACACCCTCATGGAGAGCTCGTTACATCAGTCTATTGTCAGTATATCTGTAGCACAAATTATCTTGTACTTAAAAAGGACTGGATTAAATAGTACTAAATTCATTTATCTTTTTAAATTTTTGCCTGAGAAAAATCTTTTATAGTAAATTGCTAAGGTGTTCTCATTATGGAGAGTCAAACTAAAATTTCCTATCCCCTGAAAGAAAAGCACTCGCAAGTCATCATCAAGCGATTTACTGATCCTGATTCTGTTGGAAGGTGAAAGAGAAAAGGAAACTCTGACTGTCAAATAGAAATTCTTACATGTTCAGTCAATATTAGCTGTAAATCATTGTTTAATTTTTATTTTTTAAAAAACAAGAGTGGGTACAGTGTCTCACATATGAAAATCAGCAAGTAGCTGGGTTCAGTGGCTCAGCCTGTAATCCCGTGCCTTGGGAGGCTGAGGTGAGTGGATTGCCTGAGCCCACGGGTTCGAGACCCACCTGGGCAGGCGAGACTTCATCTCTACAATAAATCCAAAAATCAGCCGGGCGTGGTAGCACGCGACTGTAGTTCCAGCTACTTGGAAGGCTGAGCGGAAGGATCGCCGGAGCCCAGCAGGTCGAGGCTGCGGTGGCCAGGAGTGGCCACTGCACTCCAGTCTGGGCGACAGAGTGAGACTCCAACTCAAAAAAAGAAAATCAGCAACTGTTTCTAATATTGCAGAGATTTCCTTATTCAAGTGTGGCACTATGACAGACTTCCCCAGAAGGGAATGACCAAAGTTCTTCTGATTACAGAAATTATACCACGCCTCAGAAGTTCACTTAAAAATACATTGTATGAACCATCAAGAGAGCAGGGAGACAGCCTACAGACTGGGAAAAAGTATTTGCCAACTCCAGGTCTGACAAAGGCTTAACATCCTGGATCTACAAGGAACTCAAACGTGCTGAAAAGAAAAAAACAAACAACCCCATTATAAAATGGGCAAAAGATATGAACAGACACTTCACAAAAGAAGACATCTGAGCAGCCAACAAACACATGAAGAAATGCTCAACCTCACTAATCATCAGGGAGATGCAAATCAAAACCACACTGAGATAACACCTAACTCCAGTCAGAATGGCAATTATCAACAACTCAAAAAATAACAGCTGCTGGAGAGGGTGTGGTGAAAAGGGAACACTTCCACACTGTTGGTGGGAGTGTAAACTAGTGCAACCTCTGTGGAAAGCAGTGTGGTGATTCCTAAAAGCTCTAAAAATCGACCTTCCATATGACCCCGCAATCCCCCTACTGGGAATATACCCTGAAGAACTCAAATCACTCTATAAAAAAGATACCTGCACATGTATGTTTATCGCATCGTTGTTCACAATAGCAAGAACCTGGAAACAACCATGCTGCCCATCAAAAGAGGACTGGATTAAAAAAATGTGGTACATATACACGATGGAATACTACGCAGCCATAAAAAAGAACAAAATCATGAATTTGGCAGCAACCTGGATGGAACTAGAGTCTATAATACTGAGTGACCTCTCACAGAAACAAAGATCCGAGTATCACATGTTCTCACTCGTATAATGGACCTTGAACATCCAATGTAATACTATAAGAAAATGACTGATGGTACTGGGAAACTATGAGGGGGAGGGGGATGGGATTAACAGTCGCAAATATCTATCTGGGGATGGGGAAACACCTCTTATCAACAGGGTGCCTGAATGAAACGTAATTGTACACCTAACCCTTAACTGTACCCCACAAAATCATAATAAAAAATATTGATTAAAAAAAATACATTCTATGTACTAACTCACCATTTGGAGACAAAGTCACTGCAGGCATTGAGTGCATGCTAGGTTCTGCTATATACTTGAAATCCACAGGAATGTCCCTAAAAATTCAAAATAGCACATTAGAGGAAGTAACTTCTAAAAGGCATCTTTAGAAGTATTACCTCTGAAACAAAGGGATATTATCCAAATAAAAGCAAATTCTTAAACTGTATGTCTAATAAATCTTTCTGGAGGAAAGAAAATCACCCAGTGACATTGTATTGCTTGTTATGAATCTTTTACTTCATAAATGACATCTCAAGATAATTATAACAGTGTGAGTGATTTTGTTTTCTATTTGATTGAAACTCTGGGCTCTATGTTAAAAAAAAACACCTGCCACTAACTAAAAGTTCTTTAGTAATAAACTCATATAAAAATGTACCAGGTAGAGAAGCGTGACGTCTGTGGCAAGCCTGGTGACATGTCCTGTACCTGCCAGTCAACCTTAGCTCTGCTCCATGAGTGCATGAGGATGCTAAGGAGGCTTCAGCAATGCATGTGGGTGGCAGGCAAAGCTGTAGGGATCCAAGAGCAGTCTAGCCCACCCAGATACCAAGGCCAAGGCCAGGGAGAGTAAGCATCTGGTACCTGGACTACTTCCAGTTAACATGTAAAATATTTCAAGTGTGCTAGGTATCGGAGAAAAAACATTTTAAAAAAGGATAAAACAAAAACCCAAATCCAAAACTAGTCACTTAAATTTAGAACCATCAAAATCTCCAAGTACTTTTTCATTTTTAATATTACCCGTGATAAAAATTATTTAATTAGTAATTCTGAAAAGAATTTTTGGTCTTGTTGCTTTCATGAGACCAGAGATGTTTTTGACAGAGTAATGTGTGGGAAATGCAATCTGCTGAATAACACAGAATATGAAGCAGCAATTCCAATTTCAAACCTTAGTTTAAGTTCCAATACTTTGATTAACTGGAAAATAATAATAATTTGCCTTCATGTAAGATATCCTTTCATCTAGCAGAAGGATCAAATGATTAGAAAAATAACCTTCTATCAGAATCTGGGTCAGAGGAAAAACGTTTCATGTATAACCTGGGAGTACCATGAGTCAGACCTCTAAGCCCTTTCTACCTCTACAGCACCAACGAGAACTTACCTTGAGAATGACCCAATGTATTCAAAAGAGCCTCAGTCTAAACCAGGTTCATGTTTTTCCCCTTCTCATACTTATTATTAATGGCTAATAATTTTATAACATGGGTTAAAACATAAGAGCATTTTCTGAATTCAATTAACCACAGTACAGGTTCAGATTAATTAATGTTTTACTAAAAGTAGACAAAAAACTCACATAGATCTTATTTTAAAGAATCTTGGTACAACAAACCCTAGAACAAGAAATGAATTACCCTGTGGACTTCATTATTTCTAGTAAAAACGTCTGCTAGGCACAGTTATATTTAATAAACACAATACTATTTCCTAATTAGATATTACAATTCAGTATAATGAGGAAATAACCCATATCTGGTAAATAATCTTCTGTTTAAAAATGAATTCACCAAAAAGAAACAAAAGTCTATGAAATTTTAAAGATAAACAGTAGTGTCAACCTCTGCAAAATTTTCTTTAAAAATGTTTTACCAAAATAAAAATCTTCTGGAGAAAACTCATCTATGACATTTCAAGCATTTGGTCAATTAAAATGCCACCAGCTGCTGATTATTCAATATAGTTTCTTTTCCTCTTTTAGAACTATATAATAATGTGAGTTTGAACAATATTGTTTAAGGAAGTCAAGTCTCCCTTGGTTTGTTTTCTTGTAAGATGCTACTCTAAGCGGTACAGGATATACAAGTTTGGCCAACACCACTTGTCTGAAGTCCCCAGTGTTGCTAATTTGTCGACAGCTGGGGTCAAGTCTCACTTTCGCCTACTCAAGCTGCCAGTATCACGTATAACTGTTCTTAGGTTTATGCAGTAAAGCACAGTTCTGGGGATCCGAGCTGGTTTTGCTTCTCACCTGTCTTTGTAGCAAGATTGAGTGTATATTTATTGCTTTCTCACCAGTCAAGCTGAATACAAGTTACCTTCTCTCCTCACCAGTCCCTTCATTCATCTAACTATTCACATGATCAAGAACTCAAGCTTTGGACTCAGTTTGACCTGAATGTGAACTTTGGTCCTTCCATGTCCTATCTAACCTTGGGCAACTTACTTAATCTATGTTAATTTCCTTATATATAAAATGGCAATAATAAATGTACCTATCTCATAAGATTGCTTTGCACATGAAATCAAATAGTCATATAAAATGCTACTTTACGTAGTGACTATCATATAGAAAGGGCTCTATAAATGTAACATCACTGATAATGACAATAATAATGACTTCAGATATTCAGTGCCTTATGTGTGCCAGGCACTGTGCTGGGGACAGACAGTAAGCATGACTGACACTGTTCTTTCTCTCATAGTTAGAACTCGCCTGTAAAGTGAAACAAATCAACAAGCACTTAAAGGGTGCTAAAAGCTGCGGAACGCAGATGATACTGTGGGATGACAGAGAAGAGGCACCTCATCTCATCTGAAGATTGGTCAGGAAGGCTCTGATAGTAAGAGTTAAACTGAAATTTAAAGATGTCATCATTATAACAAAACAATAACATAACTTTTAAAGGAGCATTTCTTAATATCTGATGGGAAATAGAAAAAAGAAACATGCTAATATTCTTCTTTAGTTTTTTCTTTTCTTCTTTTTTTTTCTTCTTTAGTTTAATCAAAATTTTTTGCTGGCCAATGTTTTACTCTGGAAAACACATACAAGTGTTCTTAAGCCCTGTAATTGCTACATCACCAAAATATTTACCAATTTCTTTTATTCCACTCTATGTTTAAAAATAGAGCTGAAATATAATCTGAGGTAGAAACATCTGAAAGTTTAAGCATAATCAAACTGTTCAAGTATGTAAAATGAAACGAAACACAGTATATGTATGTTTAGTCTCCAGAGTTTTGTGCAAATCATCTAAGGTGGCTCATATAAAACTTGATGTCTGTATCAGATTCTCTGTAAAAAAACATTTCTGAAATACGAAAGGTCTTGGTTATAAGGTGGCCTCAAACCATGGGTCTTAAGGAAGATGCGATATGTTAAGACTATGTATATAAAGTACAGCCAGCTCTCCACTAATTAGGGTCTTCTGTAGGGGTGTAGTTGTAGTATGGTAGTGAGTATGGAAGAGACCAGTTCAATTACATTAGATCTTCAATTACTCGCCCTGTCCTGACAATGGTTAAGGACCTGCTCAACTCCCTAAAGGGACTTAGTTTGAGGAGGAAAGCACTGGCTGTGGTTCAAGGCCTCCTACATGTTCTTAAAGCAGAAGGACTTCTGGGGGTGGGAAGACCCACTTTCTTCCTAGTCCTTGCTAGGCTGTAATCATGGTTGAGTTGTGCTTCATAACAGACTAAAAAGGCTGGGTTCCATCCAAACATTCACTTTAACAAAAAGATGATTAAGCATTTCTTTGCAACTAAATTATAAAAATGATCTATGATGCTTAATAAGATCAGTATAAGCATTTGCCTTTAAAAAAATCTTTTTTTCTTTAGAAAAGCAAACTCAACCAATATTTTATGATTGTATTCTACAAGTAAAACATTTGTACTAGGCTGATGATATGGGCAATTTTCAGTATTGGATTATCACAAAGCAGACATTTAAAAAACTAAAAGATACACCAGTGTTTCTTTGGCTTAGTTCTGAGGCCAAAATCTTATGGTCAATCCTATTCCTTGCTAGTCATGAATACACTAATATACAATATAAGATAGAACAATACAAACCTATCATCACTGTAAAAAAAACAACTCAAAATACATAACCTCTGGAAAGACTATCCAAAGACTACAAAGGGTAGCATATTTAGATTTTTATTTCCATATTGTAGGCACTTAAGTAGTCAAAACAATTTTGACTGGCAAGCCAGGACCACAGTTGCAAAAAAATTCAAATAGTTGCATATTATCAGGCTTTGTCTTTTGCTATAAAATGTCTAATTGCTTGCTTTCCATAAGTCAGATTTTCTAATGATGGAAACTTACCATTCCCAAACTCGTAGGCTCTTATCATCAGACGTGCTCACAAATCTCCTGTTCTCATCAACAAAAACAATGGTGTTGACGGCTCCCAAATGCCGATCATATTCCTGCACAATTTCCCCACTGCGAATGTCCCACTGTACATCAAACAAGGAAAAAAGGTAAAGACAGAAGTGAGCAGATTTATGGAAACTAACAAAGATCATAATTCTTTAAAGCAGAGAGGGAAAAGATCCCCAACATCCCACTTTATAAATTTAATGTTTTCTATTAAGAACAAAACATAAGCAGTGCCTAAAAGTAGCAAACATTAAATGAGTTCACATTGTTTAGTCCACCCCAATACTACAGGAAACTTAGAATTCTTCATGAAAACACTGTAAGAAGACTTACTTGTACAATTTTCTTATCAGACATCCCAGCCACAAAGAGATTTTGCTTATCTTCATCAGGATTGAATTTGACACAATAGGGTACTTTTCGGTTTGTAAATCTTGATATACACTGTCCTAAAACCAAAGATCCAAATAGGTAAGCTAAATCTGATCACTTAAAGATGACTGTGAGATTAAGATCTAGAGGTCACTTGCTTAACAAATTCTGAGGAAGGGCGGCCTGCTTGCTCTTTACTATAAACTACATTGCTCTTTATCACAGATTTGTAATGAAAAGGTAATTTTTTAAAAAGTAATTTTGTACCACCAATTACAGAATAGATAAATTATAACTCCATTCATACAATGGAATATTGCAAGCAATAAAAAAGAGCAAACTACTGGTACAAGTCACATGGGTGTATCTCAGTATTATGTTGAGTGAGAGGAGTTAGAAACAAAAGAGAATATATGATATGATTCCATTTATATGAGGTTCAAGAACAGGGAAAATGAATCTGTGATGACAGAAGTGGTTACTGTGGTTACTGGGAGTGGGTACAGACTGAAAAAGGGTATAAGGAACCTTAATGAGTAATAGAAACGTTCTGTATCTTGATCTTGGTAAACAACTGCATAGATATGCTTACTAAAAAAAAAAATCACTGAAAATTATGCATTTTATACACTTTGCTGGATGTATATTTTCCTTTGATTTTTAAAAGAATCTTAGAAGAGTGGTCTCGCAACTTTGACTACAATCACTAGTCCACAGCCTGGAACAATTACATAAGTGCCTCTGAGGGTAGGAACCAGGCATCAGTGATCTCAAAATTCTTAAGATGACTGTGGATTTCTGACTTCTGATGCAGCCAGAATTGAGAACCACTGCTAAAGTGCTAAAGAGCATGGGCTTTGGCATCTCAGAGATCTCGGTTTGAACCCAACTCTGCCACTTATTAGTTGTGTAACCCTGGAAAAGTTACCTCTTAAGGTCAGTTTCCTTATCTATAATGTAATAATAGTTCCTACCTCATATAGATATATAAGGATTGAAGGAGATACTCATATCAATACTTAGCATTATGCCAGGCAAATAGTGTTTAATAAATGCTACTAGCATTATCCTTAAAACTCGGTAAGATAAAAGATAATTTTCTAATTATATAAAATTATACTAGTTACAACATACTGATGCAATTAGTATGGCTGTGAATATATAAAACCAACTGGCCTGTGGAAACTTAGACCTACATTTTAATCAATTTGAGCAGTTAAATTTATTGTGCTTCTATGATGTGCAGTGCAGTATGGCAGGTGACGCTGGGGAACAAAAGTTCAGTTAGATGGTCTGTAAGGTTTCACATTTGCTTGTCTTTCCATATGTGGGCTTTATAAATCAAACCTGATGGAAATAAAGTTTCATCATGAAAGAGTTCATTATATAGTTGAGTATATATAAACATATTGTGTAGTATTAGCTGACAGTCAATGGCATGGGAATCAGCAGGGAGAGAAGGTGGCATTTTGCCACTGGAGACCACTCAGACTGTTTCATATGTAAATAATAACTTACAAGATTAATATGTATTAGTATTCACGTAAGTGAGCTCTTACCTGTCTCAGTGTCCCAGAGCTTAAGATACCTGTCATAGGCTGCGCTGAGGAACTGTGTTCCTGCGGTATTGAAGCAGATGTCTCTAACAGCTTTACTGTGACCTACAGGCAGAGCCAACAGAAATGGCAGTGAGACGAAGTATCATATCTTCTCTTCAAACATAAACACCATAAGGAGCAGCAGCATTCAACAGGGGTTCTCAGCTGTGAGTCAAGATCATTGGAACCCCATCACCTGATTCACTGACTTTGAAAATGCCACGTGTGGGCTTTTGAATGTGGGTGGTTTTTTCCTTTCAAGAAGCTCCTTAGGTGATTCTGATGTATAACATCTTGATAAGAACCAAGAGAAAAGGTCTAACTTTAAAAAAAAAGTTTGCCATGGCAATCTCTTAATATGCAGTACATATAACTGATGACTAATCAGCCAAGAATTTATGGAAACATAATAGACCAATTATGGCAATGACAGAACTGACTGCTGAAATTTTGGAGATTCATTCTCAGACTGCTCACCAAGCTGGAAGTGGAAACAAAGTGACCTACACCTAAATTTCAGAAAATTGTAGCCCTTGTTCAATAATTGCACATTTCTGTGATCGAATTACCAAATTTCACAGAAACAAATTCAGAATCTTGGAGACTAAATCTTTCGAAAATGACAACAGTAGCTTCTATTTTCTTTTAAGATGGCATTCTGACAATAAATTAACTTTAAGATGCCAATTATGCTTCACTCTTAGAAATTGATCTTGCCAGGTCAATCAACTCTCTTGAGAGTTACAGGGACAAACAAAATGTGACTCAAAGAAAGCAGAATCTTTCCTAATTTTACTACCCCTCCCCACGACCAAGACATGGGTGTTCTGCAAAATGAGCATGGCACAGATTGTCAACTGCATGCGACAGCTCTAAATCACCACCACCAGCAGCAAACGCCCCCTCAGGCAGCACATGCCATGGCAATTAGGCATGCTTTCCACAGCAGGAGTCCTAGTCAGAGCTGCTAGCATCTTCCAAAGGAGGAAAATTCCAGTTTTCCACTGAAAAATGGCCTGCCAGTACAGGGGAGACAGATGGGAACCAGCTCCACTGTATCTGATGGGGACATTTTGTTCCCTTGTACACAGCTAAGAGCCTTCCACAAGTCTTCCTTCAGGCTGCAGTGACATCTTGGGCAGTATTTATTTGTGCAGGGACCCTAAAATTCTAACAAAGCACTGCAGAACAGACTCCTACTTTAAAAATAGAGCCACCACAATTCACACAGAGTGTCAATGTGGTACAGTTAAATATGGAAAGAGTAACTAGCCTTTGCATGAAATTTGACAAAGACAATACACCTTTCTCTACCAAAAAGGCTGATTGTCACAAAGCTGTCCTCCCTTTGGTCCTTTTCTTCAAGAGTCTCCTCAATCTCATCCTTTTTAATGTTGTAGCTGCTAATTCTCAGCCTCTCTCCAAAGCTCAACATCCAGCTAATTGCTTACCGGACATCTTCACCTCAATATCCCAAAGGCAGCTCAAATTCAACGAGTCTAAGACCTCATCCTCGTAACTCTTGGTGAATGGCACCACCGTTCATCCAGCCACCTTATGAGAGTCACCGAGATTCCTGCCTCACTCTGATCTCTCTACTATGTAGTTTGAACTGTACTATGTAGTTTCTTTCTCATGTCTCTGCTGCTTTGGTTCAGACTCTCATCACCCCTAACCTCGGCTAATGAAATACCATGCAACTTATTTCCCTTCCTCCATGCTTGCCCTACCAAAGCATACTCCATATTGCCATGTGACCTTCTAAACATCAAACCATATTGCCATGTGACCTTCTAAACCATGCTGCTTTCCTGCAAGAGCTCTTTCGTGGCTTCCCAATGTCCTCAGAGTAGTCTAACCTCTATTAATAGCATACAAGGTCCTCCACACTCTGGGACTCTCCTGCAACTTTTCTCTATTTCTGCCTCTCACCATCTCCCTCATTTTGGCAATCCTGAAATGTATGAGGTTCCCCCAAAGCTCACGTTTTCTCACACTGCTTCTGCTGCTTTTGCTTCCTAGTTCCTTTTCTTTGCCTACCCGGAGTGACTTAATCCTTCCAGGCTCAGTTTAAATCTATGGAGATTTTCCTTCATATCAGTGCAGTAAAATTACTGCCAATGATTTTATCTTACTTTGAAAATTCTTCCCAAACAGATTTATAGTCAGAGAAAAAAAAAGTATTACCAATAAATGTTCGCAAACAGCGCCGGTCTCCATAAACCTCCCATAGCTGGGAAAAAAAATAACATGTGAACATGTTAAGTTTAATAAAAGCCATTCAGTCAATAAGAACAATGAACTCCTATGCTGGCTATGTGTGTGCATATCTGTGTACATAGATTTAATCATTAAATATTTAATATTAAATATCATTAAATATTGTGTGCCAGTTTGTGTTGAGCTTTTTGGAACACATGCACACACATACTCTTTAAAGAGTCTTAACAGTCTTTACATCAAATGTGTTTCTCACAAAACATCATGAGAACTTAACTATAGATGGAGTTAATTCAGGCAACTTGCATTTTCTTATTGTTCTTTTCTGTGTTATACATATTTTCTATGATGAGAAGTTTCCACTTTTGCAATACTATGAACTGCTTTTAAAGGAATTAAATGCTATCAAAACTGCCATGTAAATAACATTTTGATATTAAAAGCCTTCTATTGTTTGTTTTTCTGAAGTAACAAGTATTATAGAAGCTATATGAAAATGATCAAAACTAAAATAACAGGCTCATAATTCTCATCATATCTAAAGTGGATTAATATAATAGTTTCAAAATTAGCTTTATTCTTGTCTGCATCAAATCCAGTCCTCAACCATGTTGCCAGTGCTCTGGAATAGAAGGCATTTCCTCACCACCCAGTGCTGGCAAGATATCGTCTGTTACCACAGCATGGTAGGCAAGGACCTCTGAGACCTGGTCCCCTGTCCATGACTGGAATCATTTCTTGCCTCTTAGATTTTATGTTTCAGCAACCACGAAACTGTGGTCATTTCCAGCACACATCATCCTGGTTCATTCTGTTCACTCTGCTCAAACGTACTCTACTCCCCGCCCCCGCCCTTACTTAGTTACCCTTCCTGCTGAGGAACGGTTCCTTGCCTCTACAATGACCATTTACCTCATAATGAAATGACTCCCCCTAACAGCAGGGAAAGAGCCTTCATCATTTATTCTCAGCTTGCACATAATTATAGAAATGAACTAAATGAAATTCTGTGCTTTTTGGGTGATCAAAGAGAAGACTTGATTACATAGTTTGTACGAAGTAAAAGTTAAACAAAATAAAGGTTTTTACCTTATTATTAGAATGACTGTTGGCCTGTACTTTAAGCTATTACAGACAAATGCCTAAATGGTTGCTGTTCCCAAACAAAGGTGCCTTATATATTGTTAATATCCATGAATTCTTTACAAAGGATAAAATATTAATGACTCAATGTTCCAAGCCCCAAGAGCACTATAGGATTGGTATTTATCAATCATCATAATGGTCTGGATCCAAAGAAGACACAAAAAAGATAAGACCTATCCTTTGAGATTTAACATTTTTTCCAAGGTTTTCTCCATTGAAGCTGACATGCATGGTATGACACATACCATGGCTGAAGAGAAGCTAAACATGGAACTTTTCAAGTCTAGAAAAAGTGAGAGAAGAGGCCGGGAGCATTTCTGCTTTGGTGTTTACTAGTATTTTGAAGAAAAAGCATGAATCACATTGTCTACTTTCTACACGTCTTCTCTACCTCATAAGGTTTGGAGGAACAAATGAACTCAGTTGCATGTCCAAAATCTCTATAAAATGCATTATTAGTAATTAAATATTCATGTGTCTGGTTCCAAGTAATTGGATTGCATTCTCTTCAGCTGTCTAAGCTGAAAGAAATCCTAGCCAATCAGACCACAGGGACATATTTGAGCCTGCATGTTTAGAAGCCATTCATAAATTGCTGCATTCACAGGGCCTGAGAGAAAATAATTAACTTCTAACAAACCCAAATGTATTTATAATTAGCCAAACAGATTTAACCAAAGAACTAGCTTTGCAGCACTCCTACACCGTTACTCAAAACTCACCTTAATTTTACAGTCCATGGAGCAAGACAGCAATAAGTGGCCTGAGAGAGGAAACAACCTGACCGCACTGACGCCCTGTAAACAGGTATTACAGTTATCAACCAGAAGCATTCTAAATATCAGCTCCAATTTAGCATCAAGAAAAGACAGTACATTTAAAGCAACCTAATTTGCTATTTTTCTTCATTCCAAAAATCACACCCCAGAATAACCTTCATTAATATTCCAAGAGCAGACCTTACTGACACTAAGCTTTTGAAGATTTTTTTTTTAACCTTCAATATTGACTTCCTCACCCAAGGGAATCCTGAGTCAATCAAATTGCTAATGCCCTCACTTCTTTCTTTTACTTAGTCCCTTTGCTCTGGAAAAAGAGCTGGAAAAATCAGTTGAAACAGTGTAGAAGACAAAGATCAACCTCAAAAGTTTTCATGCTTCATGTCTCTGCATTAGTTTAATTGCGACCACAGTTTATAAAGCAGGGAGCATCTAATCTCCGAAGTGCGATAATCCCAAAAGCTAAGGCAGAATGATTGAGGTTCAGTAGGAGACTTGGTGCTAGTACCAGCCCATTACTCAATGATCTGGTGCCCAAGAACAAGCAGATGTGGCAGGAACTTGAGGGGAAAGGCCTGGGCCACATGGGGGCAGGACACAGAATGCTGTGTCATGGCTAATTCGGACGGCCCTAAGGCTATTAGGCGCTTGGGACTGATGTGTGGGGCCCCTCCACAGCCTAACACAGGTGTATCTTCAGTCTGACTTCCCAATCTTGTCTTGACTTCCTTGCATCTTTCCCAGAAATACTGAATGTTCCACATCAATAGCTGAAACTTTATGATGGCTTCATTGTTGCAACATCATAGCAAATAGAAGCAATCAATTGCTTACCTTTGTGTGTCCAGACCACACATGAATTTGTTTCTTGGGAAGATAACACTTCTCAGGTGGCACAGTTGACCGCAGGTTAACACCAACATCCTGAGGTATGTGAAGATAGGACCTGCCTTGGTAGTCATACATTTCTTTAACTGAAACAAGAAGGCAAAGGAAATCAATGAAAAATATAACCTATATCTATACATATAATTTTGAGTCAGGGTCTCACTCTGTCATGCAGGCTGGAGTGTAGTGGCACGATCATGGCTCATAGCAGCCTTGACACGCTGGGCTCAGGCAATCCTTCTGCCTCGGCCTCCTGAGTAGCTGGGACTACAAGCATGTGCCACCATGCTTGGCTAATTTTTATTTTTTATAGAGATGAGGTCTTGCCATGTTGCCCAGGCTGGTCTTGAACTCCTGGGCTCAAGCAATCCTTCCGCCTTGGCCTCCCAAAGTGCTGGAATTATTAGAGTAAGCCACCACATCTGACCTAAAATCTACAAGGGGGAACCCCCCCCCAAAACTGGAATTATCTTTTGGAGGGTGGGCCCCTTGTAATTCACTTGGAATTTGTTCCTCTGGATCAAATGGTCAACCAAAGTTTTTATCTGAAAGTTTTGAAAAGGCTGCATCATGATTTGCAGGAGAAATGTCCTGAGTTATGACAAACAGGTGACTGGTTCTTCCACCATGACAATGCACCTGCCCACACTGCACTGAGTGTTTAGCAGTTTTAGACCAAAAGGGGCATGACCCCCATACTCCACCCTCCCCATTCACCTGATTTCACCCCTAGTGACTTTTTTTTGTGTCCCCAGATGAAAAAAGTTCTCAAAGGGAAACGTTTTGCCAATGTGGAAGAGGTGAAATAAAGAAATGACAGAAGGACTAAAAGGGATCAAAACGGATGAATTCAAAAACTGTCTTTAGCAGTGGAAAAAGCATCTTGATAGGTGCTCAGCATCCAACGGAGAGTCCTTTGAAGGTGACTGAAGTTTAAGCATGTAAGAATAAATATACCATTTTTTATAAATAAACTCCACTTTTTTGGGTATCCTCACATTCTTAAAAATAATATGTTATTCATGGGTATATCATTCCATATTAAGGTTTGGGTAATAATAGTCTCATGATGTTAAGATCAAGAGTCAGCTAAGGTTCAGCTGCCTGAAATCGCTGCTATCATTTTTTTTTTTTTGAGTTGAAGTCTCACTCTGTCACCCAGGCATGCTCACAGCCACTGTAGCCCTGACCTGCTCAGCTCAGATGATCCTTCTGCCTCAGCCTTCCAAGTAGCTGGAACTATAGGTGCATACCACCACACTCGGCTAATTTTACTGCTATCATTTACAACTAGAGATAGTATTCTGGAATTCCTAAATACCCAGAGATTATCAGACCTTTAAATAAGATCTACATTTCTTTTAATCAGCTATACATTCTAGTGATGCATAATAAAGACTTCATTGCAGTATACTTAGAGCAAGGGAAGAAAAGATAATACTTGGACCTTGTGTGCTACTTGTAAAAAATCAGAAGCAAAACAGGATAAAAAGAGAGTTAAAACAAAACATATCAACTATTGTCTCCCCCTGCTTTCCTTTATTTTTTATTATTTTTTTGAGTTGGAGTCTCACTCTGTCGCCCAGACTGGAGTGCAGTGGCACGCTCCTGGCCACCGCAGGCTTGACCTGCTGGGCTCCAGCGATCCTTCTGCCTCAGCCGTCCAAGTAGCTGGAACTACAGGTGTGCGCTACCACGCCTGGCTAATTTTTTATTTATTGTAGAGATGCAGTCTCGCCAAGTTGCCCGGGTGGGCTCAGGCAGTACACTCACCTCAGTCTCCCAAAGTGCTGGGATTACAGGCTAAGCCACTGAGCCTGGCCTACTTTCCTTTAAATGGCATAGTGTATATGGGTATAAAGCATTTAGCAGCATGCCTGGCACAGAACTACTCAATAAATATTATTAGTATGATGTTACTGTTATTATGGTTATAAGTACCATAATATTCAGTACTCTTTGGTGACAAAACTGAAACTTGAGAGACCAAATATGGTCTCATCAAACCTAATATTGATGTGATATAACAGAATAATCAACACCATCAGTGCTGAATTATTCTTTACAGTTTCAGATAATCACTATGTAATTTCCTAAATATAATTATTAATGAACAGGCGCATTCTAGAATATTTACAATTTATCTTGACGAATATGCACTTCCTTCCATAAGACTACATAAGTACGACAGTCTTAATTTTCAATCTATTTATATGAAAAACAAAGTTTTTTTAAAAGTATAATTAAGTAATGGTTATAAACTATAAATGAGACTTGGGCTAGGAACAAACAATTAAAATGACTGGGGATCTAATAATACAAAAAAGTCAATTTCATCCTGGAAAAAAATACACTGTGGACCATTCAGGTTTCTCTCTTTTTTTTTTTTTTTTAAAAAGCAGGATTTATTGAGAGGACAGTAAAGCTCCCACAGTGGGAGGGGACCCAAGGGAGTTGCCCTTCTTTGCCATTTTAAAAATTCAGTAAAATTTCAAAAAACTTATCTGTGTCTATCATTAATTATGCTATTTTTCTCTCCTTTATTAGTATACATAAGAGTTTGCTGTAATTTTTGGGATACAGATTGTCCAACATAATTATTCTTGATGTAGTAATTTTACTACAGCTGGTAGTAAAGGGAATTAATATTATATGAACAAAGAACAGAGAAATATTACTTCTTCATACAAATGAAGATGTGCAAAAAATATATTACCATGTAAGACTGTCTTCTCCTCCCCAGGCTTCTCGTCTTCCTGTTTGCCTTTTTTCTGCCTCTTTGCTGTGATTTCATCCAATTCTTTTTGTTCTTCCTATAGAAATAAGAGTGAATTTTAAAATGAATGTTCTAGAACCTCATCATGCCAGAAATTGGTTATACATTCTTTATAATGAAGTGCACCTTACTGGCCCAAGTGTATGCCTCCTAGGATAATAAACTCAACTCTTCTGGAAGCAGAAATTGATTACTTCTTTCACAGATTACAAAATGGCATAAACACAATGGAGAGATAATAGATAATATTTTTAAATGCCATGAAAATCAGTTTTCAAAACTCATCCTCTGGAATACACTAACATATTATGCTAGTTATGCAAGTAAAAAGACAAGGCAATTAGAAAATCCAGTTCCAGAAAGGTATTTCAGTGCACAATGTCATTCTCCAATGCATAGCTTTTACAGTCATAAGGGTATCAGCAATGACTACAGATTTGTGACACAGTTTTTTGGGAGGATCTGGGGAAGGAAGATGATGTGGTAGTAAATGTGCATCTATAATAACAGACGTTAACAGATGATATCTACAATAAATAAATAGCAGATGTTTACTTGTTTTAGATGTTATCTGTTGACCTCTACTATCATAAATATAGATTTACTGGATACATGTATCAGTTGGAATATAAGCTTCATGAGGACAGAATGTTCTTAGTCTTGATCACTGTTGCATGCCGGGGATCTAAACCTGCCTCATAGACACAGAGGATTTAGGAGGCGGTGAAGGAAAGGGCAGAGCTCTGTACTTTTATTTGGTAAACCTCATAGTACTATTTTAAGAAATAACACTGATGATACTTATTTACATTTTTAAATAAGTTAATAACTGATAAATCCTTCAATTCTAGTATCATAGAAAGGCTGATTCTGTAGTCATCATCTGCATATCTGGTATCAGAAAAGCAGTTACCATGGTGGCTTAAGAGCACTATCAAGGCTATCTTTATTAAAAATTATCCAACACTGTATTTTAATAAAAAAGTGAAAATACATAGCAAAAAAGGTAAATAAAAATATTCCAAAGAAAAACAAAGAACTTTTATTGCATTTTTCTAATCAATCGAGGCAGAGAAATTTTGATGTGTTATTTGGTTCTCTAAGGAAATTGCAAGTTTATTAACAGAGTTACTCTTCAGAGACACAGCATACACCTGAACTGACAGTGAAAAACATCAAAGCTTACTTCTGAAGGTTTGGCTACATCTTTTTCATCCACATATTTTGCCCAAGGTCCCAAGAAACCATCAATATTAGATGCATCATTTTCTTTGAACTTCTTCCTCTTTTCTGTTTTCTTCTGACCAGTTTCAAACACAGTTAAACCTGGGTTAACAAAAAAATCGAGAGAGGTGGATAACAAATATGTATATTTTCTAAAAGAATATTAGCACATATATAATTTTTTTAATTTTTGGTTAAAGAAAAATGATTGCTCAATTGACCAAAGATTTATTAAAAAATAGTAACAAACCAAATCCCTGTGAATCTGCCACATATACTACAACCAACTCAAGCTACACAAAAAAAGATTAAACCTTCTAGGGAAGGAAGCTTTCTGTGAATGCAATATTTTGCAAATTCTATTACTGTATATTTAAAGAAAAGACTCTAATATGCAATCCTATAAAGACCCATAATCCTTTTATTGATTAAAAAACCTGTATCAGTGGATTTTCACCACTTTTTGAAAGAAACCCAGCAACTCATTATGGCTAAATAATGATAAAGTCACCTCCGAAAGCAAGAATAAATTGTAATTTATCATTTAAAAACCGAGTTAAGTTAAATCACAGCAAACACTTAATAACTTAGCTTCACTTTACTTGTAATGCAGCAATATAAATCAAACTAGGTTTCACAGGAATGTGGCTATTTCCTCCAAGTGATCTCAATCTAAACTTGACCTCCAATAATCACCAGTGTTAGCAGTAAAAAAAAAAAAAAAAAAAAAGGAGGAGGATGTTTCTGGTTGTGATTTTGATTTGGGTAGTAGGAGATGGCAAACTGTGTGTAGTCAACTTGAAAAAAGAGAGGCTTATGGAAATCACAGTCACAAGTTAACTAAGAACCTAGCTGCATTTAGATGTGACTTGCAGAGGTCTAACTTAAAGAAGAAAAGTCTACCTATATTAATTCAAATTCATTTCCTTTAGGCTATGTTTTTATAGCAAAAGCCTGTTAAAACTGTATTTTAACAATAATCTAGCTCACACAGAAAAGGCAGCCTCATCCATCACACAAGGTCTAGAGCTACTAAGCAGAAGTGTCCCATGCAACCAGCACACTATATTTTTAATGGCATTTTATAAACAATATTCCAATGAGCTGATGAGCTTTGTGACAAGTTGGCATTTAGAATATGATGCTTTGTCTTATGATAATAAGTACAAAATGGATATGAGCACAGATATATTTCAAAACACATATTTAAACCCAGCCCTCAAAGAAAACCTTCAAAGACATCTTTACAGACATACAAAATGAAATGTTTCTGCTCTGTTAAAGTCTAGCTTGATGCTAGTGTTGAGAAGTCAACTGTCAAAATTATCTATTCGTTAACTATAGTTTATTGAATGATTTCTTCAGGGTTGAAATGGTACCAAGTACTCAAAGCCACCCAAAGAGATACATACCACTATCTTCCCTACAAGGCCACATAGCTGGTGAGGGCAAAAGCAAGCTCTAAATTGTAATAGTTCTGAGCTATATTGCATCATACTATATCACTTGTTTTCTCAACTTAAAAAATTTCAAGAGCAAAATAAAACATTAATTTTTTTCTTATTGTCTAATTAGTCAATCTGCAAGATACTACTTATAGGTATGTACATTTGATATTAAGTATTTCAAATAGATTACCTTGATTTTTTTCAGCTTCTTCTACAGAACCAATATATTTAGCAGACACTTGATGATTATCTAATGAAGGGTCTAATGCATAACCTGAAAGGCAAAAGGTGCAAATTACTGACTCCATTTTTCCATTTAAATTCACTTTATTACTATACAAATATACTCATTTCACATTTTCCTTCCCGGATGTAAAAAATGTTTTAACTCAGGACTAATCCTTCTTTCCTGGGCTATGTTTCCATTTGGAACAATTAACACAAATCTCAGACTGGGCTATGAATGATGCCAGTAGAATAAGAAGTATCTGACAGAATGAATCAGCATATCTTACAAAACTAAGAGCCTCTTTGACCAAGTTAGCAAACTTTAAATATTTTAAGAGGTTGAAAATATATGGACATCATGCAATTGGAGATTTAGATCCATTTCCTTTTTCTTTTTTGTAATGGATATCACAGGGCTAAGTTTATCAGATTAATAAATTATTAAATAATTTTAAAAAAGAACTAGGGTAAGAAGAATTACATACTCTAGCCATTATTTTGAAAATGCCATTCTCAGTAAGGACAGTCTTTCCTCCCAATCTTAAAATAATGTGATTCTACTTCATAAATTATTATTCAAATTTCTTTGATAAGAGAAGTTAAGTAAGGCTATCTACTAGCACATGAATACACTGCTTCAAACAGCTACAGAGTATGTAGTCACATAGAAATGTGGTCTTCAGTGGTCTCTAGGCAACTCAAATTAACTAAATCAACTCAAATTGGTTTTTCCTCAAGTGGGTGTGCTGACACCATACGTGTTTGGTAACATCAGTCTAGTATATTCACAAGAGATCATTGATCAGTCTATGGCCTACAACTCATGTGAACAATCATGGACTACATAAAAAGTACTAGCCCATTTTTTTTAAAAGAGCACATCCTAGTGGATATATTTAACATTTTTATTTTTCATCTAAAGAGTCTAAGGAATGTCTTTTGGGGAACAGAAAGAGATTTGTCATGAAACATGTTTTTCAAACAAGCTAAGGATGTAAGTGCTCAACTCACCCTTGTGATATGCTAGAATAGAACCAACCACCTGGCTATTAACTCATTTGCATATAGTTTTTTCGGCATTAAAATATGTTCTTAGGCAGAGAAGAAAGCTTGATGGCAGAAAAGCAGCTTTGGAGTAGAATCTCTGAAATCACAGGTTCAAATCCCATGAGTTATTTTATCTTTCATCTCTCTGATGTACAGAATTTTGTTCTGTACATGATTTCTTTTAAAAAAAAAATGAGACTTATAAAAGGCTCACCTATAAAATCCAGATCCAATACGCCCTGAGGTAGAAAGTCCCATCCCAATCATAAAAATTTACTGAGAATATAAATTCCACTTTGAAAGGAGACTTAGGTCTCTACCAATGGCACTGCATGGTGTGTTTGGAGGGTGGAGGAAGAGACAGAGGGAAGGGGTGTCCCTGGTCCTTGTCTGTGTAAGCACCAATCCCCAACTCCTCTGGCCAGAGTCCTGTTTCTGAGGAAATGAACTTATGTCTTCCTCCTGTTCCATATCATCTGTGGTCAAAAACTTTACTGCCACTACCACCATCCCTACTATTGCCTCCCACCCCACGTGACTGGAAAACAATTATTATTTTCCTTTTACAAATAAGAGTCAAGGCTGTGCAGTGGCTCATGCATGTAATCCCAACATTTTGGGAGGCCAAGGCAGAGGATTGCTTGAGCCTAGGAGATCAAGACCAGACTAGGCAACATAGCAAGACCTTGTCTCTACAAAAAAATAAAAACAAAAAATTAGCCAGGTAGGATGGGGTATGCCTATAGTCCCAGCTAGGTGGATGGATTGCTTGTGCCCAGGAGGTCGAGGGTGAGCCATGACCATGACACCATACTTGACAGAGACCTTGACCCCCCCCAAAAAAAAGACAAATAAAAGTTAAATATTTGGCCATATGTTTTATAACAAGTCAGTCAGTAATAGAACACTAACACTACCAAATTTCAGTCCAATTAGTTTTCTAAATCCTGTGTCTCAAATAGGAAATGTAGATATATTCACTTAAATATTCTCATCTATCATTCTGAAGTTTTACTTTCCATTTTATCTTTTTAACAGAGTTAATGTCTACATTCTTTCTTTTAGTAGTCTTATTTGAAAAGGCTATAATATTGATTCTATTATTATACTCAAGATTATTCATACTAATATTATTAACGCTATTATTATTAGGCAAATGAAAAAGAGACTAAACAATTTGCAAATAAATGGCCATAAATATATGGAAAAACCTTCAACCTTACTAGTAGTCCAGAAAAACCAAATTGCAATAAAGAGATATATTTTGATTATCAAGTAAACCAAATCATATAAATTTTTGGTAAAGATTCTTAGGACTTTCACACATGGTGTTAGCAGAGTAAAGTTGAGATAATTCTTTTGGAAAGCAACTGGATAATATATAACAAAACTTTAAAACACTTATGCTCTTTGACCTACTTTTGGGAATTCATGTCAGAAAATAATTTTTAAAACCTTTAAAGTTTTGTGTACAAAATATTTACTGTCACATTTTATTTTTACTTTTTTTGAGGTGGAGTCTCACTCTGTTGCCCAGGCTGGAGTACAGTGGCACACTCACCGCCATCCCAGCGTCAACCTGCTGGGCTCTGGCGATCCTTCCGCCTCAGCCTTCCAAGTAGCCAAAACTATAGATGCGCACTACCATGCCTGGCTATTTTTTATTTTATTGTAGAGATGAGGTCTCGCCAAGTTGCCCAGGCTGGTCTTGAACCTGATCTTGAACCTGCGGGCTCAGGCAATCCACTCGCCTTGGCTTCTCCCAAAGTGCTGGGATTACAGGCTGAGTCACCAAGACTGGCCCACTGTCAAATTTTAAAAAACATTTACTGCAGTATAACAAATATATCACAGTTTTAACAGTGTAAACTGGAACTAATTTGAAATTTAAATGATACAGGTAATTCTTATAAAAGATAATCTTCATTCAGCAGACTTTTAAAAATCACTCAAGAATGGTAATAAAGAATTGCTAATAGTGAAGTTAAAACTCATGTTAATAAATGACTATAATGAGATTAAAAATACTCATTTAAAGTCCTATCTTCCACTTCCATAGAGAGGTGTAGTAAGAATTCTGGGTAAAGTAGAAGACAGGAGGATACTTGATTAAGAAGCCCTATGTAAGATCAGGAAGGCCAGGACCCCAGGAGGAAAACAGGACAAAACAATTCACATAATTTATAAGGGCCTGAGAAGTCAGGAGAAATACTATAAATGGGAGATAAGACAAAACTGTCCAGCAAGTAAATGGAATGACATGGTAAATAACACTACCCTCGCTGATAAGGACTCTGCAGGTAGGCTCTGATCAACTAAATGTGTCACAGAATACCCAGAAATAATTCACTGAGATGATAACAAATCTACAACATTTTAACATGGGAGTAAAAGTAAAATCAGTGTTTGTTCTATATCCCGGCAGGGAGAGCCTAACATTAGAAACATGAGACTTAAGTCAAACTGGATTCATATGCCACCACCTTTACGTCTCACAGGTAACACTAGGACAAGGTATCAGGAAGGTCTGCTCCCTTGTTCTTGGCAAATAAGAGAAGATAACAAAGAGGTCTCATAGCCTTAGATTCCATGTTTAAGAATGAAAACACACACACATGTAGATAGAAAGCTGGTATAAGAATCACTATCTGAAGTCAGATAAGAACTTTCTATGAGAAAATTATATGGCTTAAACTAATAGAAGCTATACTTGCTCAGTATCCGTAGGTAAAGAAAAAAAGAGAGTGTTCAGCCTGAGGTTGGTTCACTTATTTCAGTTCAAACAAACTGTTCTCAGTTCTGAGATCTATCATAAGTGAGACAGACCACAATTTTCTTAGTTTTGCAACTGGCTATTGCTTTTATTCCAGGCCACCCAATACGCTACAGCCTCACATTCATTTTTTTATGTCTTTAACTCACTAAGTAGTTCAACCTGTGTCCTAGCTCGCCACCTCCTACTGGGAGAAGCAAAAATCACCAGTTTTTTAAATTTAATAAGCCTATTTCTGAACTCAGGTCTAAAGACAACTGAATAGTTCTCAACACTTATCCTTCTTATAAGGTAATTTAAGAAAAGTAGGTATCAGTATCAACTTGATTGGGCTTTTTTTTCTGTTTTGTTTTGTTTTAAAGGAGACTTAAGCTAACTAAATTATTGTTTAGGGCCCTTCTAAAGCCTTAGAAAACAAGCACTCTTTAAAACACGTTTTATTGTGGGCTAAAATATAATAAAATAATGACACAACAGAGTTGATTTTTATGTCCTGCATATTATTTGAGATTTACATGGGACCCCTTATACAAACAATGGGTAAACATTTTATTGGATTGGAAGTGTTAGTGAACCCTTTTGGGTGATTTAAGTGGTATACAGTCTTAGGTGTGATTTTTGGCACACTGTAAGGAAATTACATCTTAACATGGTAAAATATGATCTAATACATAACTGTTTTCACAACCAGGTTCCCTGCATATTAACTTTTTAAAAACCCATCATTAATAGAATATAATTATTTTCACAATGAATGTGTACCTATTCCATTTCCTGATATCCCTCAGTGATCAAGAGAAAACATTTCCGAGATAAGATCTTAGAAACAGCCTATAATAAATAGCCTATAATAGATACAACAGTAACCTTTTAACCCTATCATTTACCAATTTAACAGCAATCTGCATATAAGAGACATAAAATAATAAGTGTTTATTACCTAGTATAACAACAAATATTCTGTTTTTAAGATCACAGAATATTTGATCACAGAATCAGAAATCATAGATTTAAAATGACAGCTAAAGATACTAGTTCACCTTCCCATTTGTGTAAGTATTTATGGATGTGTAAAAGAAGGCGCACTACTCTTTTTGAAGAAAATCTAGATTAAAAAATTTTAAAAGCCAGAATATAAAATAGACACACACACACACACACTACTAACAAGGACAAACTTGAAACTATTTAAGTCCTTACCATATGTGGCAAAAGTTCTTCTTTGTTGTTCAAACATAAAATCATTGATGTGAGCTGGCTCAGCATATCCAGAAAGCATATTTCTAGGGGCAGCCATTTGCTGTGTCCTAAAAGGATTTTCTGGTCCAAACTGCAATGTTATAAGAACAAAAAGGTCTAAGTATACAAAAGCTAGACTTACTAAATAACTGTACAATTTTTTTCAACTGTAAATCACCAAGGGCCAATTAATCTATGTGAGAACATGATAGCCTCACATGGTCCAGCGCAATTGGGCAATGGCTGACTGGCACTGTTTGTCAGCCCCTGGGACGTGGAGGAACCCAGCTCACCCAAATCTATATATGACTATTTAATAATTTCCAGCGCTCAGTAGCCACATGTGGTTATTGGCTACTACCTTCCCATCACCGCAGGAAATGCTACATGACAGTCTTGTTCTAGATAATTGAGAGTTCCTACAGTAAAACATGCTTTGAGGGAGTTTTGGTAACTTTTATGTAAATGGTAGCATCGTGATATAATTTAAAAAATACATATCTCTCTTCCATTAGCTTCTGAGTTCCTCAAAGGTAGAGACTCAGAATCCTTAATACCTACCACAATGCCTGGCATATAAAAAGCACTAATGAAGGAGAGATTAACCAGAATCCTAATGAGGGGGAAGGATAGAAAAACAGACAATAAAAATGAAGGGCCTGAAAAAGTCCCTAGGAAAATATATAACAAATGCAAATATAATTTCTCCACTCTGAAAAATCACACTATGAATGTCTTACACAAAATAGTACTATTATTATCTATTTGTTTATAATGCTTGAGTTTCTAGAATGCTTTTCTAAATGCTATTTAATTTGATCTGTACAACTGACAAGTTAGAGATGTATTCCTCTTATTTTAAAAATGAAGAAAAACACCAAAGATAACGTATTTTACCTACCCTAGGGTCAAAAGTTTCATTAATTGGTAGAAGCAAGGCTAGAACAAACCCGAATCAAGCATTCTACATCATAACATTCCTTAAGTGCATAATTATAGCTTCTAGCTTTCAAAAGAGTTGGGTAAGAAAATTATATATTATGCTATTAACTGGATGCTATTATAAAAGGTACTGGGGAGAAAAATTCAATTCTTTCTTTTTTGTTTTTAAAATGAGCTTCCCACTTTGGAAAAAGTGAAAGTAACAGGATACTTTCATCTGACTCTGTAAGACCCACTGTCATGATAAATTACTTTGACATTAGAACACTGTAGGTCACTACCATTAGAAATCTTTTCTATAATACATTTCCAGAGCTATACATTACTAATCTTCTCTTAACCAGTACACTGTATTTTCTAGATATTCAAATTATTTTATAGAAATCTGAATTTAGGCCTGGCGCAGTGGCTCAAGCCTATGATCTCCGCACTTTGGGAGGTGGAGGCAAGAGGACTGCCTGAGCTCAGGGGATCGAGACCAGCCTGAGCAACATAGTGAGACCTCATTTCTACAATAAATAAAAAAAATTAGGCAGGTGTGGTGGCTCATACCTGTAGTTCCAGCTACCTGAAAGGCTGAGGCGGAAGTATCGCCTGAGCCCAGCAGGTCAAGTGAGCAGCATTCCACTGCACTCCAGCCTGGGTGACAGAGTGAGACTCTGACTCAAAAAAAAAGAAAGAAAGAAATCTGAATTTAAATGTTATTTGCCTGATATTTTTTCTGCTTTAGAATAAATTGGTGCAAGATTCTTTTTTTTTTTTTTTTGAGTCGGAGTCTCACTCTGTCACCCAGGCTGGAGTGCAGTGGCACACTCACGGCCACCACAGCCTCTACCTGCTTGGCTCAGGTGACCCTTCCGTCTCAGCCTTCCAAGTTGCCGGAATTACAGGCATGTGCTACCACACCCGGCTAATTTTTTGATTTATTGTAGAGATGAGGTCTCATTGCCCAGGCGGGTCTCGAATCCGCGGGCTCAGGCAATCCACTCACCTCAGCCTCCCAAAGGCGCGGGATTACAGGCTGAGCCACCGAGCCCGGCTGCAAGATTCTTATATATTGACAGTTTCCATGTCTATGTTTAAAATGATTCAATTTAAAAATAACTGGTTTATATACAAAGCTTCTATCATTATTCTAAGTTACAACGAATAGTGCGAGACTTTGCAGGTCATATTGGTCTTTCCTGTGTCTGCTGATAGGTGGAAAATAGAGGAAAGAAATCTAGATTGCTGAACGCTGGAAGTTGCAGTCAATTTATTCAGTCATGAAATTTATTACAAAAACAGGAGCAGCCATACAATTAAAGATAGCAAAGTGATTTTAAAGGTTTTCTAGATGTTCTACTTGCTTCAGCCAGCTATCACCCACAAAACGGTATCTGACACCTCTGGGGGAAAAATTTAAAATAATAAAAATACCCATTTCCTTTATTATTATACTATCACATATAATAAATTACCAATCACTGTGCTTATAATTTTTTCATTTAAAAAAGGAGAACTACCATTTTCATAGTCTTATATAATTAAGACTTTAAATAACAACAACAAAAAGAACAATCCTTCTCCAGGCCAAACCTATCAAACTGCTCCATTTTTTAGGGAAAAATTCTCAGTGTTAGAGAAATGTAATTTCTACGCAAATACAGATCCATATATTAAAGCTAAGTATATTTTATTTACAGTGCTACACTTAAAGCAATCTAAAAATTTTAATATCCTACGTCTTATAGAGATTTAAGATAAAGCAAGAAAAAATCTTCTAGTGACACCAGAGGCTGGTGAGAGTATCCAGTCTTGCGGGCTCACCCTAACTGTCTGGTTATTGGCAGCTACGGGAGCTGACCTCAAAGACTTGAAATGTCAACAAAGGAAGGCAGGGAACGCTATTCAGCAGGACTGGCTCTTCCCAATTATGCAAAATATGTAATATTCAAAATATTTAAGGAACTCAACTCAATAGCAAGAAAATAAATAATCCAATTAAAAATTGGCAAATGACCTGAAATTTTTAACATTTCTCAAAAGAGGACATAGCCTATAGGTCTATGAAAATTTGCTCAAAATCACTAATCACCAGGAAAATGAAGGTTCAAATCACAATAAGATACCATCTTACACCTTTTAGAACGGCTAATATTGAAAAGACAAAAGATAATAAGTGTTGGTGAGGACACTCTGGAGAAAAAGGAAGCTTTGCACACTATTGGTAAAATGTAAATTAGTACAGCTACTATGGAAAATATTACTGAGAAACACAAACCCCTCAAAAAATTAAAACTAGAACTATTATATAATCCAGTCAACCTACCACTAGGTATGTGTCCACAGGAAATGAAATCAGTATGTCAAAGATATATATCTGTATTCCCTTGTTCACTGCAGCATTTTTAAAAAATAATCATAAAGATGTGGGTACAATTCAGGGTTAGGTATAGAAACTTTGATTATGCAGGTACCCTTGTTGATGAGGTATGCCCATTCCTCCCCTAGCAGTTTCCCTCAACTGCCAATCCCACCCTCACTGCAGCATTATTCACAACAGCTAAGAAACGGAATCAACCTAAATGCCCATCAATGGATGAACTGATAAACAAAATGGGATATAGCTACACAATGGAACACTAGTTAGCCTTAAAAAGGAAGGAAATTCTGTCATTTGCAACAATATAGATGAACCTGGAGGACATTGTTAAGTGAAATAAATCAGGTACCTGGACATATACAATCTCACTTATGTGAAATCTCAAAAAGTTGAACTCACAGAAGCAGAGAGAAGAACGGTGATTACCAGGAGCTAAGAGGGTGGCAGTGGGGTAGGGTGGAAGGATGGAGCATGATCTTGGTCAATGGACATAAAATTTCGGTTAGACAGAAGGACTAAGTTCAAGATAGTCAGTACAGTTAATAACAATGTATGGGATTCTTAAAAATCACAGAGTAGATTTGAAGTGTTCTCATCACAAAAAGTAAGTATGTGAAGTAATATCTATGTCAATTAGCTTGATTTAGCTATTCTACAATGCATACATATTTCAAAACATGTTACACGTGATAAATATATACAATTCTTGTCAATTAAAATAAGTACTGGTTCAGATCACCACACCCACTATAAAATTAGAATACAAGTACTTGCTTCATGGGCTTGTAGGAGGAGCGAAGTGTGTAAATTCCTCAGTGTGGCTCTTGGCATACAGCAATAATAAGTGGTAGATTTATTTTCTTTTTTGTGTCAGGTCACTTTGTCACCCAGGCTATAGGGCTATGGCACAATCATGGCTCACCGCAGCCTCAAACTCCTGGGCTTAAGCAATCTTCCTGCCTCAGCCTTCTGAGTAGTTGGCGTGTGCAACCACGCCCGGCTAATTTTATTTTGTATAGAGACGAGGTCTTACTATGTTGCCCAGGCTGGTCTCGAACTGCTGGGCTGAGACAATCCTCCTGCTAAGCTTCCCAAAGTGCTAGGATTACAGGTATAAGCCACCATGCCCAGTCAGTCCTATTTCATTAGTCTCCATGCCTGTTTTTTTCTTCCATCATGCAAGCCCTTACCAAATAAACCTTCCTAAAAATTTAGATTTGATTATGCCACTCCCCCATTTAAGAACCTCAGAAATTAATTTATCACCTATTAAATCAAGAACAAACTCTTCACTTTGGCCTCCCAAGCCCTAAGCAGTATTATACAAAGTACCATTCTAGTACTATTGCCTCACTCTTCCTTACTGTTAATGACTAAGGCATTTAGAGCATTATGATTTGGCTTATGCTGTTTCCTTCTGCCTGGAATCTTTCCTCATAAAAGACTACCAATAGTGACAGTAATATTAATATAAATAACAACAGACTCACCGTTTGTTAATGCCTATTTTGTGCCAGCTTCTTAATCACATCATACATTCATTATCTGATTTATTCTTATAATGCAATAAAGCAAAAATTATCTTCATTTTACTTATGAGAGAACTAAGAACTTCCAAGATTACACACGTTATTAAGTAGTCTACTTAACTCCAAATCGCATGGTCTTCACCTAGGTTGTATTGTATATTTCAAATACTACTTCAAGGAGCTTTAAAAAATATTTACAATCAGATACAATTTCTCCTTAAACTTGAATAGTACTTTAGAGGCATAACAGGAAAGAGTCTGGTCTATATCTTTTGAAAAACTGCACTAAATAAACACTTAGGATATCCTCTCTGGTAAACACTAGTTTGTAAAAGGAGTTTGTATCTTGTTTCTAACAATGGGTTGTCAAAATACATGAACCTGAAATTTAACCTAGCAAAATTTCTGGTGATACTTTTTCACTCTGCCAAGTGATACAGATCCAAGTTACAGAAAACAAAGTTCATAATTTGTTAAGCTACAGATGATTCATTTGACATCCAGGAACAATTACAATTTTGCTTCCCTTTTAAGTTCCATTATTCCTTTCTTAAATTGTTAACAAGTATCTCAGTGTTCCTAACATAAATTAGTTTAGATAATGTGAGGCTCCCTAACATTAAAAAAAATAATAGAACATTAAAGGATTGATAATCCCACAAAGAGAATGACAGGCTTATTGTCTTGTATCACCCTAAACATTTTTAACAGATCTTTTACATTTGTCTTGGCAGTTTTGAAAACTGTAATCACACAGCAGTACATTAGTTAAGCACAAGATTTAAAATTTAAGATAAGTAGATTTCATGAAAAATAAACTGACATCAGAATGTCATACACCACAATACTTCCACATTTTCTCAATTCAGTGTCTCTATTTTATTGAAGTATTTTTTATTTTAAAAAATCATGAAGCATGATTTCATAATATTACAAACTCTCTTTAATGGGCTGGCTAACATGGTGCCAAGGGATATGAGACAGCTTATAGTTCAACAGGCTAGAAGGACTTAAGAACCAAAGGAACACATTTTAAAATGTGCCACAGTCTCAGTGCATGAGAAGGAGATTTTTGCTTAGTGCACACCCAGAGAATCATGATCACTGACATCTCTGGCTGTGCTATTCATTCCAGTGACCATCTTTTAAATGACTACAGAAACCTAGACAGGCAAAGTGCTATATAACATAGCTCTATGACTCTGATATGTCACAAAAAAGACAATGACCTTACGCTGCAAAATGAAAGATAAGATACAGCTCCTCACACCCATCTTTAAAATGCTTCTTCAAGATTCTGCTGCCAAAGCTTTATTTTTCTGCCTTATAATTATCACTTTATGGCATCTCTCTTTTGTCAATCAAGCACTCTTTTCCATTTTAAAAGACAGAATATCTAATCTTTTCTACAAACTTTCCTGAATAGATAATAGTCAAAGACTTTCTTACATGAACAATATTCACCATTTTTTTTCCTTCTTCATTTTTCAAAATACTTTTATTATCAGGAGAAAAAAAAATCCGATACTTTATTTTACTCAAAGCAGGCATCAAACACTGTCACTACTTTCCTGCAGTACATTAGTATGACATTTCAGAGATATCTGTAACTATAATTTATAAATACCACGTATTGATGCTGATAAACCAAATTTTTCACCTATATGGTTAATTTATAATACTTCCTCATCAATGCTGAGGAAGACGTCAAATAAGTTCACATCTAAGAATCTTATATTTTCAGATTTCCTTTTTCAAAAGACATACTTTCATGTTATCAGATGTTTGTAGGTAGGTAGATAAACAGCTAATGAGTTTTTAAAAGTATTCTTACAAAAGCATATTATTTAAACTTTTGGAAAATAGAAGATATTTTCTAAAAGCTTGAATAGTACGCTTATCTGAGAAAACTTAAAAATTCACCAGGTTTATCTACTGTGCATAATTTAAATACTTTAGCAAAAGGCAGAAACTTGAATATATTTTCTTACCTCAGGAGCAAACATAGTCTCATAGGTAGGATTATACTGAACTTCTTTGACAGCAGGGTCAAGGTGAACTCCAGTTTCCAAATCTTCCTAAATGAAAACCAAATGAATATTAAAGATCTGATAAGTGATAATTTTATTTTAGAAGCTGCACTGAAGTTATATCAGTCAATTTTAACACTAATTTTATGATTATAATATTAGTATCATGTGATTAATAATTCAAGTGATCAAAAATTAATAAAAGTAATAAATATATAGCTAGAGGTTAAAATTTCTAACAATTTTTTTCTTTTCAAAATAGTTTATTAAAAATTAAAAATGTCTAAATAAGTTAACATTACTCAAAGTCTTAAATTCTAACTCTTCCTTTTTTATTAACTCAAAAGATCTGATTCTCTAGTGCCAAATTCAAAAGAAGTATTCATTCCTTTTTTATTCATCAAACCATATGGGTCACGTAACCAGATGGCACTTTGTTGGATACTGCAGAGGAAATAAAAGGAAGTGGCAGGGCCTGAATCTTCTAAATCAAAAGCCTTATACTCTGCGTCAACATTTAACATCTTAAATTCATTCCCAGTTTAATGAACATAAATTTCAGCTCCACTGAAGACTCACTGGTGGTCTACCTTCTATGTAATTTCACTTAAAATATGACAATTCTCAAACTAGTGTCTCCAGCCTGGACTTCCCTCCTGAACTCCAGAGACCTGCATATCCAGCCTTCAACTTGACATCTTGTCTCCCAGGACCTAACAGACATCTCCAACTTAATATATTCCAAAGGCACCTAGTCTCCCCTCCCACAATGAATCCTTCCAACCTTCTCTATCTAATAAATTGCAGTTCCATCCTTAGAGCTGCTCAGGCAAAATCGTGGGGCTTTTTCGAGTTATCCCTGACTCCTCTTTCTTTCACACTCCATATCCAATCCATCATCAAAGCTTGTTCCTTCTACATACATCTAGAACTCAACCACTCCCCACAGCCCCTATCACCCAACATATCATCTCCATCTGGATTACTGAAATAGCTTCTTATCTGGTCTCCCTGCTGTCTGCCCTTGCCCACCCACAGTCACACTCCAAACAGGAGATACTGCTGCTCTTTCAAAATATGAGTCAGTTATGCTATTCCTTTGCTCTAACCCCCTAGTAGCTTCCCCACTCAGAGGAAAGGCCTAACAAAGGCCTGCATGGCCCATGACCAGCTGGTCTCAGAAAGTACGCATGGTTTCCTAGGGCAGTTTTACAGGACATTTTTGTCTTCTTACATTATCACGTCTGAATAGTCACAAACTTAAAACACATTTGGTTGTTAATACTTTTCCTTTAGTTAGGACATTCAAGTTATCTTTTAAAATTTTTAAAGTTATACTCATATATCATCTATAAATTATATTTCAGTAAAGCTGGCGTTATAAAGCTGCTGTTATAAAACGAAAGACCTGAGGCTAACTGGCTGAGAATTTACCCTCCATGATCTCCCCTTGTCCTCACCAGCTCCTGTCTTCATCCAGCATTATGCCTGTGTTCACTCTACCTCACTGGCTCCTTGGCTGGTCCTGAAACATGCCAAGGAACAATTCCATCTCAGGGCCTCTGCACCTGTTCTTTCTTTGGGGAATGTCTTCCTCTGGACATCCATATCGCCCTCTTTCCTTTTAAGTCTCCGCTCCATTTTCCTGCTTTCCCTTTGTCTTGCTTTCCTTTTTTCCATTATACTTATCATTACCTGACATATATATTTGCTTAAAATCTATCTCCTTCCACTAGAATGTAAGCTACACAAAGTGGATTTTGAACACACAAATGGACAATCAACCCTTAGAACTATCCCTGTCACATCACCATCTTTATTCTGCTGGTCTCCTTGCTGATGGTTAGGGCATATCCCTCAACACAGGTCACAATGCAAAGTAACACTGCAAATTTTGCAAAACAGGTAGGATTCCATGAAATTGACAGTGATGTTGGAGAAAAAGCCATGCCACAGACAAATGAAGACCTGGTAGCTAGACCAGCGAATGACCAAAGACTAGGAAACTGACAAGAAAAATCATCCTATAGGCACACAGTTACTGTTCTGAAATTGTTCACTCTTAAAACACCTTACTGTGGCCCTTTAAAAAGCAAGCATCTGAGTTTCTCTACTTCTCAAAGATTTAGAGCCCATCAGGTATCATTCCCTTAAACTTTCCTTTTCCCAGTTTTATAATCACCCATATCTTTAGCTGTACCTTTTCATGACTTCATATCACCCCTGGTTTTTATCTGCAGCCTTGACCAGGCTCCTGGCCTCTGGATCCATATATCTAGCTGCCTACCGTATTTCACGCATGTTCCACAGTATCAAATACTATGCCATGCCCAAAGCAGAACACATCAGTCTCCCATGATTCCATCTTCACTAACAAATCAGGTACCGAGTCTTGCCAATTCCACCTCTGGATATTTCCCCAGCAACCCACTTCTACCCTCCCTTCTCTGTATCCCAGCTACCAAAGTCCTACTACTTCAGGGCTCCGTTATATCTTGGTCTATGAAAACACTTCCTTATCTAGTTTAATACATGCTCACTTTTGCCATATTAGACTAATAGCTGGTTTTTAAAAATGGCAAGCACTCTGATGTCTTCTATGCTATAGGCAATGTTACTCCCTGTATCTTGGACATGCCTTTTATCATTTGATAATATGTTATCTTCTTATTTTCCCCGATACCTTCCCTCCTCTTGCCTTAGGAAAACTGCTTTTTTTTTTGGTCCACAGTCCTAAGGAAAGTTGTACCCTTGATGGCTCTTGTGATATGTTATTTGTTGCACATGATTTTTGCTTATATCTTGTATCCTGTGAGATATACACCCAGCAGAATGCAGGGCACTCCAGCACATGCTCAATAAATATCTGTTAAATTAAACTGGAGAAAGAAAAGCCGAATCCATAGAGAAACTAAATAGGATAAGGCTGGCCAAAGATCATCGGATTTGGCATTACGTCACAAAAACCTTGGCCAGAATAAGTCTGATAGTGAGGACCACGGAAAGCCAGTTGCAAGGGGCAGAGGTATAAATGAAAAAATATCGAAAAACCAACAGTAATAACTTTTACTCTTTGAAGACATTTGCTGATAAAAAAACAAAAGAGATGAGGTATCAGATTGAAGGATTTTCAGAGTAAAATTAAGCTTTTCTTCTTCCTTAAGAAAAAAGTCAAAGACATAGTTAACCACAGCCTTGAGGAAAGGCAACAGCAGAGAGAAACACATGACAACAAAGAGCAGATAATCAAAGGTATGGTTATCCTAGAAGAAGGAGGAGGGGAAAGGGTTCAGGGCACAGTTAGAAGATAAGTGTCTGAAAAGAGGAGCGCTCTCTTTGAGATGAAATAGAGATGACAGAGATAATAATGGTTGACTGGGGCCAGGCACTGTGGCTCTAGCTTGTAATCCCAGCACCTTGGGAGACCGAAGTGAGTGGACTGCCTGAGCCTAAGGGTTCAAGAACAGCCTGGGCAACTTGGTGAGACCTCATCTCTACAATAAATAAAAAATCAGCCAGATGTGGTAGTGCGTGCCTGTAGTTCCGCTACTTGAAAGGCTGAGGTGGAAGGATTGCCGGAGCCCAGCAGGTCGATGCTGGGGTGGCCGTGAGCTTATGTGCCACTGCACTCCAGCCTGGGTGATGGAGTGAGATTCCAACTCAAATTAAAAAAAAAAAATGGGTGACAGATGACAGATGTTTAGAGATGCTGGCAGATGTTGACAGTCATAACTTATCGTTTTATAATCTTTGTATATTCAGGGCACAGGCATCTTTATAAAGCAAGTGCAGCAGCCTCAAATTCATTTATTCACTCAATCAGTATTGACTGTACGCTTACTATGTGCCAGGCACTATTCTAGGCCCACAGAAAAAAGATACCTGCCTTTATGGACTGTCTTCCCCTGAACATCCATATTGTCCTCTTTCCTTTCAAGTCACTGTTCCATTTTCCTGCTTTCCCCTTATCTTGCTTTCCTTTTCTCCATTATACTTATCATTATCTGATATATATGTTTGCATCATTATCTGATATATATGTTTGCTTAGAGTCTATCTCCTACCACTAGACTGTAAGCTACACAAAGAGGATTTTGTACACACAAATATACAATCAACCCTTAGAACTATCTCTATTATATCACTATCTTTATTCTGCTGATCTCTTGCTGTTGGGTAGGGCATATCCCTCAACACAGGTCACAATGCAAAGTAACACCGCAAATTTTGCAAAACAGGTAGGATTCCATGAAGTTGATAGTGATGTTGGAGAAAAAGGCATGCTACGGCCAAATGAAGACTTGGTAGAGTTATATTCTAGTGGGGGAAATAGACAGTAATCATGCAATAGATAAATGAGTTACACAGTTCACTAGAGGAGGGTAAGTACTATGAAAATTTTTTTTAAGACTAATGTGCCCAGTACCAGAGTAGACACATTAAAAAGTACTGTTTGTGGTACCTATACATGATGGAATATTATGCAGTCATAAAGCGGGAAAAAATTATGAACTCTGCTGCAACTTGGTTGGAGTTAGAGTCTGTGACACTCAGTGATCTATCACAGAAACAAAGAACTGTGTACCCCATGTTCTCACTCATAAGCGGACCCTGAACAATTATTATAATACTGTAAGAAAGGGACTGGCAGTAGTGGGAAACTGCCAGGGGAGGGGGGATAGGATTGGCAGTTGAAGGAAACTGCCAGGGGAGGGAGGGGGAAGGCACACTTCATCAATAAGGGTACATGATCTCAAATCAGGTGATGTGGAGACCAAAGTGACCCCAAACTTTACCTGTACAATGACCATTTGTATACCTAGCCCTGACTTGTACTCCACATCTTTAAAATAGAAATTTAAAAAAATTATTTGATACAATCTTCTACAACACTTTTGTGAGGTTAAGTATTGGCAAGATTAAGTCACTTACCCTAAAGTGCTAACAGAATAAATGGTAAGGGGAAGAGCTTAAAGCTATTGCAATGAAAGCTGTTCATGAGACCTAGCTAGTGACATACAGATCACTGGCAGAGTAGCTAGGTCCAT